TTAGATGATAGGGGGGGGTATTCATACATATCTTGGGCAAATGTCATATTAAGACACGATCTCATATCTCCGTTTAAGAATATACATTTAAGTTACAAAAAAATAAAAACATCTGAGAGATATGAATATCTCTCGCAATAGGTTAATGTTTGTTTTTTAAAAAAAAAATATTTTTATATATTTTATACAAGGAACGGTAGATTCATGGTCGGTGGTAGGGAGAGAAAAGCTCTTGACACGACTAAAAAGAAAATCCCGATTGGAGTTCTACCAGGTTCATTACCGATAATCTTAAAAAACTTTATATATGCTGCATATCGAATTGACTGTAGTCTGCGAGACAAATTTGCTAATGGCTCGTCGATCTCAAATGTCGTGGCTTAAAAAGCCTAAATAAATGTCATGTTGTTTAGAGTGCATTTTTATTTTATTAGAAAACTTGTTCTAAAAGAAAAAAAAAATAATGTCTGACATTTTCCTAAAAAATTAAAAATGTTTTAAAAGGGTAATTTTGGCAAACGCATGAATATCTTTTTGAGTCCTAAATTAGCGTTAATTAAAGAAAAAAAAAACAAAAAAAAACGATGCAATTCTTTAAAATTTGTAAGCATGTGCATTTTCTTTTTAAGCATTTCATGATTTTAGCTTCAAATGCCTGAGAAGCGTGAGGTAATATCAAGAAACGTGAAGAAAATTCCTGCATCCTTATCACGCCATATTAATCTTATTATCCACAGAAATTTAACTATGAAAATTCAAGAATTAATTTTAGCAAAGCTAACATGGGAAGAAATATATTTTATCTGTGGAAGGAATAATAATAATAATAATAATAATAATAATAATAATAAGCAACTTCTACGGGAAGGAAACTGAAAGAAATTGGTATGAACACCACCCAGACCCGGTTACGGAGATAGGACCTGTTACAATTCTATGGGACTACACAATACACACTGACAGAACAATCAAAGCCAACCGCCCAGACATTGTTATTAAAGACCACAAACAAAAAAAGTGCCTCCTTATTGATATGGCAGTCCCTGCTGACTGCAATGTATCTTTGAAGATATTCAAAAAGCTGTCAAAATACAAGGACCTTGAAATCGAAATCTCAAAAATGTGGCACATGGGAACATCAACAATCCCTGTTGTAGTTGAAGCCCTAGGATTGGTTGGAAAAGATTCCAATAGAATAATTGAAGGGATCCCTGGAAGTCCATGCCTCAAAGAGATACAAAAAATTGTTCTCACGAGTAAAGCCCACACCTTACGAATGGCTTTGTCTATGTAATTTCTTTTTGCACTGGTAAACCTCATGATGCCTTTTCTAACATTAGGTCCCTGGGCGAAACCCGGAAGGAAATCAGTACACATCTGAAATCAAAGGAAATAAAATAATAATAATAATAATAATAATAATGTAAGACAAACACCAAAATCAAAATACAAGCAAGTATGAAACCATCAATAATATAAAACACGATGTAATTTTATTTATCGGTCATAGAGTTTGATTTGCTCTCTTTAGTAATGAGATATTCCATATTTATGGTAGATGAAGGTGTTACATTCGATGTGATTCTATATATCGGTCACAGAGCAGATGTATACATACTTTCCACATGACTATTTTCGCTGAAGTGGATATTATGAAACCCGCTGGATTTCGAATTCGACTTTCCAAAACAGCATTCGCCCTACGACTCCTGAACACCATATCGCTAGACACAGGCAACGGAACGATAACAATACGAGAGTGGACAGAAAAGATCATAGGCTAACAATGAAGGAGAAATCCTTGAGCTGTGAAATATTGCATGTATTAATTTCAACTCATTAATAAATGCATCATTTGCTTCCAGCTAAACTGACATCTGACTGTCCAGTCCAAGAAGACTACAAAAGCATCTAGTAGCGGCCTCTTTTAAAAATGGGCAAAATTTGGCATCAGAGTGTTATCATGTACGTGCAGAAAAAGGATTTAGCACCCAAGGATATTCATGCTGACAAGGTTGTTATGTTTAAGGGATGACACTCCAGCATTATTAAAACTGCAAATGTGGGCATCTGAATTTAGTAGACTGTTGAAGCATACCTACGGACGATAATGGATATGTCTCCATTCACATAAATACAGTAGTAAATACTGTATGTTGGTCTGCAGTTAGAGATTCGTCTCCAGATGTGTTGGTCAAAATCTCTGTATCCAGACAGAGGATCTCCAGACATGACTATGTCGAAAGGCAGAATCTCGTCTCGGGAAACAGTTGCCCGACCCGGTTTTATACAGGGTCTACGGGGAATTATTGGCCGAACCTACGTGCTCGGATACCCCAAGTTAAATTCAGCTTTGTGCCACATCTGACCGCGTGGTGCGGTTAGTAAATATGCTGCAGTTGGAGATTCGTCTCCAGCAGTGCTAGTCAAACTCTCTACCTCCGGGTAGAGAGGATCTCTAGACGAGTCTATGTTGAAGGGCAGTGTCTCGTCTCGGGAAACAGCTACCCGACCCCGATTTATACGGTGTCTACGGGGTATTTTTGGTCGAGCCTACAGCCTCGGATACCTCCACATGAAATTCGGCCTTGTGCCACATCTGACCGCGTGGGTCGGTTGGTAGATATCCTGCAGTTGAAGATTCATTGTGGAATTCACTTGATTCAATTCTAGCAGTTGACTATTTCTTCTACGAGCCGCTGGCGAATCTTATATGCGTTGTTCTTGTCCTAAGTATTATCGTTCATTATCAACCTTCATTCGATTGTTCTATACAATTACCTTCCTTTGGTTACAACATAGGGGAGGGAGAATCCTGAAGATGTCCCAAGGTCTAGTCGTCCTGCGTCTGCCACCACCGTGGAAAATATTAATCGTGTTCACCACATGGTGATGGATGTCAGACGATTGACTATAAATGAAAATACTCATGCTATTAACATAAGAGTTTCGGATATTCTGCACAATGAATTTGGCATGACGAAGTTTTCTGTTCGGTGGATACCACGTCTGTCATCTGATCAAAACCGCACCAGAGTGAGCACGCCACGGAAAAATCTGAGATTGCTTGAGGTGGATCCAGCTGGATTCCTTGAACGTTTCCTAAAAAAGAGTGAGTATTGTGTTCGTCGTTTTGTGTTAGAGAGACAATACACGCAGAGGAAAAGACTCAATCTCACCTTCACAAAAGTGGTCTAAGGGTGAGTGAGTCAGGTGTAGTCCCTTCGTGCCCCATACATATATATTGGGAGAGAGATCTGGCAATCGTGCTGGGAAAGGGTGTCATCGAATATTTGGCAGAATATATTGAGTAGAATGGGCAACATGTGGGCAGGCACTATTCTGGTGGAACAGTGCATCGGCTTCCTATTATGAGGTCTATAGAGAATCTGATGGCCTCGGTTTGCGGGATATAAAAACATAGTTTATTGACCATCTTCAAAAGGCCACACCATCACTGGAGAGTACTGTGTCAACTTGCTGACACAGTTAGGAAAGGTGATCAAGACAGAACGCACAGGAAAACCAGTGATAGAGGTTCGTTTCACCAGAGCAATTATCAAGTACACAAATCCTTGATTTTAATAGCTGAGTTGCGTGAGTGTGTCTTTGAAATGGTTGATCACCCTCACCGATTCTCCTGATTTGACTATCATCCGTTCCCCAACATAAAAGAAAACCTTGGCTGGAAATCAGTATGGCAGTGATGATAACGTCGTATCTGCAGTTGATGATCTTCTTCGAATAGTTTGATGCCAGGTTACATGGAGAGAAACAATGCAGTTATTAACAAGAAGAATTGGAATTAATGTATGTACGATTTAAGAGCTTTAGCGTCACTCCTTCATAGTCAGCCTTTTCAGGCTACCCTCGGATATCCCTGATGACGAAATAACGGGTTGTTTGAAATTCTCTGAATGTTTATTACCTGATGAATGCAGGGCGTAACGTCCGAAACATTGTGAAAATAACAAAAAGATAAGATCCGTAGTCTGAATTTAAATAATATAAATAATATTTCATCTGAGAGATTGAGACGGAAATTTAAAAATATAAATTAAAATCAAACAAAAAGAATAAAATCATTCAAATTAAATTTAGTAAAAGAAATGAATAAAAGTGAAAAGATTATAAATAAATAAAAAAATACATGGGCGATACTACCTTTAGTGTTGTTGTGGAGTGATTTCACAGTGGAGACTTGTATTTGTACTAAATCGATCCTAAAATAGATTCGACGTACAAAACGTTAGGAACTTGATATAATAGGTAATGACGCAGAGAAATCTAGTTGTAGTCGCTGATACTTTAGTATCCGACTAACTGTCGTCCGACGTCGACTCACTGACCTACTATATTTAGTCACCCCCCACGTGGGCATCATGTGACACAATGCCGGTTTAACGTGGGATATCCGAGCCCGTGGCTCGGCCAAAAATATGCCCATTGAACCCGTATAAAGGGGTTCAGGGTCGGTTTACCTCCCCGGAAAGAGAATCCGCCCTTCGGCGTAGCCTCCTTCGGGTTCCTCCCTGCCTGAAGGCAGAGAGTTCAACCGAACTGTCGGTCAGGACTTGAGCGACTGACTGACTGACGATATTCAGCCATCCCCTACGAGGGCGTCATGTGGCACAAGGCCTTTTCAACGTGGGCTCGGCCAAAAATATGGGGGTGAGTATTGCAGATTCGGGCATTATTTTGGAACCTGTATACATATAGATCTGTACGTGTGATTAATAAACTTTAATAAAGTAAGACGAATTTTTATAGGTACCTCGTTTATAAATAACGGTATTGAAATTTGATTGACAGTTAAGCATATTCGACGACTGACGTCAGTGTGACATAATCACCTTAAAAAAGAGAAAAATACGAACAACGCGAAATTGAACAAAAAGTTTTACGACATTAAATGTTTATATTGTATTCAAGATTCCTACAAATTATATTGAAATGTCTTTCCTTTCTATTTATTTATTTTTACGGCTTAAGCCCACGCCACGTTGAAACACCGGTTCTCGTACGATCACCGAAGTTAAGCAACGTCTAGCTTGGCCAGTACCTAGATAAGTGACCACTTGGGAATACCAGGCGCTTTAAGCTTTGATGAGTGGGAGTTATAATCGATAAAGACTCAGAATTATTAATCGAGGTGCCGAGTTTCATATCCATTCATGTTTGTTATTTTCACTTACGCGCAAATAGCCTAAGGGAAACAGATTCATCCATCACTTATCTCCCAACTATGGGTTAATTAGTAAGGCTTGTATAACTGAAAATAATTCTAATTATCTAAAAATATTTTCTGGCTTTAAATGACCTTCAAAGTGTTGATAAACCGTAAAAAATGAATCAATCAATGTAAAATATTTTTTTAGAATGATGCTTTCCTTGTGAAAGGATGAAAATCAACTCAATGTTGAGGGTTACAGTGAAAGAGGAACGGTTTATGGGGATATGTGGGGAAGATATTTGACAGGTTAAGATTATAATGATCGAGGAATCATCCTTTAGGAAATCGGTTCCACAAAGCAATAATTCCTGAACGAAGCTGTTCGAGTGGGACTTACATCTCACCAATGGAATATAAATGGAATGAGGGTGGTTCTCTACAATTTGCATGGCATGGTGAGTCTTAGCCGTGGAACTAAGACATGAAGTTCGTCTGAAAACTTTTCAGTCATAGAGCAGCGAGAGCCTTGCGATGTTTCGTTTGTTGGAAAAGGTTTGTAGGATAAAAAAGAATTGATCAACCTCCTGGTTGATGAATTCAGACGATACTAACGCAGTTAAATCTCGTTGTTATTTTCTCCACAGGATGACGTCTACATCACTTTGAAAACTTAGATTTCAGTACGATCACCGAAGTTAAGCCACTTTGAGCCTGGTCTGTACCCAGATGGGTGACCGCTTGCGAATATCAGGTGCTGTATGGATACTGGCTCGGAATTTTTAATCGGAAAGCCGAGCTCTAATTTCCGTTATCTTCGTTATATTTAAATAGCAAGAGGCTTGTGACGTTTCATGTGTAGGGAAAGGGTTTTTAGACTCAAGCTTCAACAAATTGTAGCAACCATTGAAGCAATTTGTGTACTAACACTTGCTCCAAAATTAAGCAAAATCAGTATTAGTAAAAAAAAAAAATAATAATCTAAATGGTTGTTTAAAGACGTCCTCTATTCATCATTGGCTTAAGGCAAGTAGAAACAGTACAGATGACACTACCTGCGCCACAAAATCTGAACATTATTTTCTGCACTGAGAAACAGTTTTGAATATCTACTTATAATTACAAATGTTGCGCAAATTAAGCACTTAGAGTACTGCTCAAAATTCTGCTTTTTTAAAAAATAAAACATATTACCTTTTCACTTAGACTTGTGTAATAGTTTTAAATTCTAATTTTTACTTAATACAAGGCCCGAAATATACTCAAGGTAGAGAGATAATCTGTAATGTCATATGAGCGTAAGAAAATAATTTGATGGGATTATGCAGGAAAGACAACGGTTAACCTTAAACTTGAAGAAGTCAAGATTGTCTTGATTTGGGAAAACATCCTGTCAGGAGTTTGCTTCATAAAGAAATTGAAACACAAATTAAGGATGTTACTATTTTATTCCCCGTCAGTGTATCGTGTGAATAGGTTCAGCTGAAAAGATTCAAAAGCATTCGATACTGAATACAAGATGACAAGAGGGAAAGAAAGAGAATGAAAGAGAATGAGAGAGAGAGAGAGAGAGAGAGAGAGAGATTAACGCACACACACACACAATAGCAATGATGCGAAATGCAAAGCGAAGCTGTATCTTCTTCACGACGTAAAACAATAAGGCCTCTTGATTGATAAAATAGTAATAGAAATGCCCCTTTCAGAAATGAGATTGATCTCGGGGTCTGACACTTTCCTAATGAAGCTGGACCGTGAAAAGAAGGAGACAGGCGTTAAATCGATTTCCAATAGGCGCAACCGGGTCCAATGTGATTGATTAGTAGACAGTTATTGATTCAGTTGAAAAAAGCCAATTATGCCTGTGGTCAGCGATCAATGGGCCACATTCATTACCGGAATTTAGCCATGCAGAATGTTATTTAGTCTTTATTTTTTGTATATATTTTTTATATATATATATATATATATATATATATATATATATATATATATATATATATATATATATATATGAGTGCGTATGTGTGTGCGTTTAATATTTGACGAAAATTTTAATTTGCAAATGGTTATAAATTTCTTTCCGAATAATCTTTAAGAATGAAATTCTGAAAGCTTATTCTTTTGATTTCGTTTCATTTTCCTTCATGTCCACTCTATCTATCTATCTATCTATCTATCTATCTATCTATCTATCTATCTATCTATCTATCTATCTTCAAAATGTTCATCTATCTATCATTATCTATCTATCTATCTATCTATCTATCTATCTATCTTTATTCATATCTATCTATATTTGTTCATATCTATGTTTCTTCATATTTATCTATTTACATTTGTTCATATCTATCTATATTTCTTTATATCTATCTATCTAGGATTTTTCGGATCACTCTTCATATATACATACACACACACACACATATATATATATATATATATGAAGAAATATACTCTTAACGTGCTATATTCATGGAATAAAGTGCTCAATATCAGAGATAGAGCGTGTATAAATATAAAATTGAACATTTTAGTCAAAACTTGGAGGCGACAGTCTGTTTCATTCTAGACTCAATCGTCATCGTGACCTGACGATTGCGTCTAGTATGAAACAGCCAGTCGCCTTTATGCGTTGACTTCAATGTTCACGTATATATATATATATATATATATATATATATATATATATATATATATATATATATTCCTATAAAATAGCTATTGTTCCTAGCAAAATAGCTATCTATCGTTAAGTAACTCAATCTATGTTTGTTCATATCTATCTATCTATCTATCTATCTATCTATATTTGTTTTATATCTATCTATGTTTGTTCATATCTATCTATCTGGGATTTTTTGGATCTCTCTGTCTCTCTCACTATATATATATGTGTATATATATATATATATATATATATATATATATATATATATATATATATGTATATATGAAAGCTTGTTCACTTCTGAATATCTATCTATCTCCGTTAAGTATCTATCTATCTATCTATCTATCTATCTATCTATCTATCTATCTATCTATCTATCTATCTATCCCACCTATAAATTCTGTCTCTTAGTATGTTTCTATCTATCTATCTATCTATCTATCTATCTATCTATCTATCTAACATTTTTCTTTCTATCTCTCTATGTTATTTTAAAAGCTAGAACAATATGTAATATCCCTCTATACTGGCAATGAAGCTGGTAGTCATATTTACACAGTCTAAGCAAACAAGTCTAACCGCACAGACAGACAGAAACGTGTAGACACAAACACGCTTACACAAAATAACACATAAATGCGTCGGTTCGCTTGGAAATATCTAAATACACAGACCCACATACACACAAACACTCACAGATACACACACAGACACACATAAAATGGTACTTGGCTCTAATCTCTTTTCCAAATCAGTATTTTAATAACTCATGTCTGGAAGTGTTATGGAAACTGGGAAAATAATTTTCCAATTGAGTTGACTAATATAGTCAATGGCTGCCGATTATTTTAGATTGAGCAACTGAGCCGAGAACTTTTCAGCACCTGTCATATATATTCACAAAGACATACACATATGTATAACGATTTGCCATTGGTAGCTTAGATGTGGCGCGAGGTCATAATTGATCTAGCGAGATAACCTTGTTAACCATTACCCCACGTCGAAGTTTTCATGCGTATAAGTACAGTAGAATCCCTTATATCCGGAATCCCTCATATCCGGTATTCTCTCATATCAGGAACCCCGCATATCCGGACATGAATTTGATGTGTATTATTGAACTATTTGGGTGATATGTAAATGATTTGAAATTTCTGTTTTTGGATAATTGCTTACGCTTATTTTACCCTAATGGCTTGTATTGGTGCAAAGGATGATGGGAATAAGAGGAAAGGATGGCAACGAGACATATCTGCAAGAAGATAGCGACGAGATGCATGATTGTGATGAAACCTGGACAGGAATTGAAAAAGCTATTGAAAAGATTGTCAGTTTTATGGAAAGAAAGCCAGCATTCAACTATGACGATTGCAATAACGCACGTTAAAAAGTGTGTTTCGTTTAAAAAAAATTCAAGAACAAAAGCAAAACGAAACGCGGAAAAAGTTGAGAATGACATTAGAAGAGAAAGAATCATCATGCAACAGCGATTAAAAACATCCTCGTTACATTATTTGTTTTGCATACGTGGCATACTTAATTTAATGAACTTTCATTAACATTACATAATTTATTTCTTTTTCCTTAAAATCAATTCCGCTATATTTCGCTCACCATTAGCTTATTTTGTTTATTATAAAAAATTGGAAATTAATGTGAAACCTGACTTCAGTTCTTTTATTTTAATCTAAATATAACACCTTATATCCGGACATCGTTACCAATTCCTCATATCCGGAAGGCCTTCTTAGTCTTGTCAGGGATTCAATTTTATGTCATGTTGATTAAAATTGCTTTCTCTGTGGTTTAAAAAATGCATTTTTAAAAATCGTTCAACCCCAAACAAGCCGTAATGCCAATAGGATGCAAGACTTTTTACAGAGTGTGAAATAGAATGAAGACTTTAGTCGGGATGATTGAGGGAATGACAAAATGGAAAACGGTTTAAGACAGAAGATGGCGACTGACGTTACATTTAAATTTTTGAAGTTTGTAGTTATCAGGGAAATATGAAATCAGAAATGTCTTCTACAGTTGGAAAGTACGAGAAAAGAATCTGTTGAAGTGGAAGTGGCGGTTGCATCTAGCTAGTTCAACAGTAAAACGATTGGCACTATTTGACAATCTAGTAGCACGCTTAAATTCATTTAGTCCGGGTACAAGGAATAAAAGTTAATCAGAAGAGTTTCCATGAAAATATTTGTAGAAAAGACAAGAAGTCGTGTCCATGAGAAGGTGACTGAAGTCAATATGCCTGCTCAGGATCGATTATGTAGCAGACCTGCCTTTGGTTATTGTTAAGAATCTCGTGATGGACAGCAGGAGCACCCGACCAGATATGGCAATAGTATTCAATGTACTTTTTCCTCCAGAACCGCGTTCTTTTATTGTCCTTTCTTCTTACTAAAAACGTCTTTTTTTCTTCCCCTTCCTTTAACCCCCTGTGTCCTAGTGGCATTATCAACTTTCTTAGGCTGAACTTATATATATATATATATATATATATATATATATATATATATATATATATATGAAGAAATATAATCTTAAGATGTGCTATATTTATGGGATAAAGTGATCAATATCAGAGATACAGCCTGTGTAAATATAAAAGTGAACATAGAAGTCAACACTTAGAGGCGACAATCTGTTTTATGCATAGAAGTCAACACTTAGAGGTGACAGTCTGTTTCATGCTATATGCAATCGTCAGGCCTGTATATATATGTTTATACGTCATTTTTATAGCTACAAATATTTAAGTGAATGTTCTGTTTATACTAAACAGCATTAACTACATTTACAGGCCTGAGTGTCCGAGAAATCACTTATTTAGAGGACACATATTTTCTCGGACATTCAGGCCAGTAAATGTTTTTAATTATAAATTATGTTTATTATAAAAAGAGCATTTAAATTTTGTGTATTTAGGGAGAAAATTCTCTTTTCGGCATATCTGATTGAATAAATTACAGAAATTATTTCTCCTAATCTTTAATAAATTACGTAATGGATAACAACGGGCAGCTTTGTATAAATACTTGTATTAATGAAGAACATATAGTTTTGTACCACTTGTACCCCTG